CTATAAATTAGAATATTATCTAGATATATAATATAAAAGATATCTAAATAATTATATAAGACTTTATTAATAAATTTTTAAAATAATATTAGGGCTTTAGTAAGCCTAAATAATATTATTAAAGATTTAAATAGGCTTAACTAAATTTAAAAAGTAATAAGATATTTTTATTCTTTTTTAATTTATAAATTATTAAAAGTAAAAATAATATTAATTTTTAAGAAATATCTTATTCTTTTTAAATTATTTAATATTTCTTTTATTAGTAATAATAAGTAATAATCTTTTATAATAATTATATTTAGAGCTTAATAATTTATATAAAATTATAGGTCTTCTCTAGATTTTTTTATAAATAGAATAAAGAATATAGTAGAAAAAAAATTAAAGTAAATAAAATCTTTTTTTAAATTTTTTTTAATCTATTTCTTTAGAATTTTTAATTTATTTTAAGATATGCTATATAGGTTCTTAAAAGATAGGATTTTTTTAAGTAGTAATTTAATCTTATAATTATTAAATTAATAAGATAGTAGGTATTTAGCCTCCTTTAATAAGAATATATTATAAAATTTAGTAAACTTAGAGAATAATTACTCTTATAACTTAAATTTAATAATAGTAATAAGATTTAGAATAATTTTAATATTAATAATAATAATAATAAATATTTAGTATTTATAGTAGGTATATATAGTATAAGTAATAATTAAGACTCTAATAATATCTTAATTCTTTAAAAATTTAAAGTAAGGATTAAGATATTAGAAAGAAGCTTTTAATAATATATTATATAATATTAAAATTTTTATAAATTTTAGAAATATATTATAGTATTTTTTATAATAAAAATTTTTAAATAAAATAATATAATTAGTAAATCTAATCTAAAGATTATAAATTTTTAACTAAAATAAATTAAGAATAATAAAAAAATATATAAATTAAATTATAAAAAAAGTAATATTTTTTTTAATATAATTATAAATTCTTTAAATTAAATAAATAAAATAAATAATATAATTAAATTTTATTAAAATATTATTAAATCTCTTTAATAAAATAAGATTTTTTAATAATAATATCTCTAGTTAATTATTTATAGCTTAATTATAATCTATAAAATATTTATTCTTAGCTCTAGAGTTAATTATAATAAAGATTAGTAGAATTTTATTAGAGATTTTTAGATTAATAAGTAAAATTATTAATTTAGATTAGTAATTTTTCTTCTTTACTATTATTCTAGCTATTATAGTTTTTAATAAATAAAGAAAGTATTAGAGGTATTCTTAATTATAACTTAAGTTAAAGATACTTTATTTTCTAATTTAGGGAATATAAGGTATTTAATAAGCAGGATTCTAGTTAATAAGAGGTATAGGTCTAATTTAGTAGTAGATATAAAGATATAGCTAGTTAGTCTTTAATTAGGGTATAAGTAGCTACTTACTAGATAATTAATATTACTATAGTAGTAATATAGATATTAAATTTAATAATTAAGGTAATAAATAATAAATAGGTCTATTAAGTCTTTAGTAGGAGTAATAATAATAATAGGATTAATAGGGATTATAAAAATTTAAGTAATAAGAATTAACTTTAAAATAAATTAAAGAGGCTAGAAATTCTTTATAGATAAGGATAGGATAATACTTATATAATAATAATAATAATTTTCTAGATTTTATAAATAATTAGTAAAATTATAATATTATAATAAAATCTTAAAATATATTAATATTTTTTAAAATTCTTAATTAATAGTCTATTTTAAAATTATAAATAAGATATTTTTATTTATATTTTTTTTTAATATAAGATATTAGAATTTAGTAAAAAAAATATTAAATTTATAATAAATTTATTAAAGGTAAAATAAATTAATATAAATATTAATTTCTAGATTTAGGTCTCTAAAAGCTTTCTTTAAGATTTTTAAAATCTTAATATAATTACTTAATTTATAAATTCTATCTTAAATATATAATAAGATTTAGGTATATAAAGTTTCTTTAAGGTAATTAATTATATAAGCTATTTTATTATTTAAGATTAGAAAATAATTAAGATTTATAATTATTTTCTAGTAAATTTAAGAAGTAAAGTATCTTAAATTATTTTATTAATTATTAAATTTATTAAGATTAGGAAGTTATTTAGAAATTTAGGTAATAAAAATAGATATAATAAAAATAATAATAATAATAAAAAAAATAATAATATTAGTATCTTTTTTAAAAAAAAATAATAATTAAAAAAATATATTATTTTAAGTAAGTACTTTAAATAATTTTTATTAGATTTTTTTAATTTATATCTTCTAATATTTAATTATACTATCTTTCTATTAAATATAATTAAGAAAGTTAGTAATAGTAAAATATAAAGTAAATAATTTATAAAGTTTTTCTATAATAGTAGTAAAGAATTAATATATTTTAATAATATATTATCTTAATTTATTAAAAATATTATATAGAAAGGTTTCTATATCTTTAAGTAATATAAGTAATAAGATAGGTATAATAGTAATAATTAACTTCTAGTAAAGAGGAGTTATATAATATTAAAGAATAAAATTAAATTTAGATATTTATTAATTAGAAGCTAACTAAATAGAATAGTAGAATAATAAATATTAGGTAATAAATAGAATATAGCTTAAAGAGCTATAATAGGATTAAGGATAATATAGTTTAAATATAGGAATAAGAGTAGATAATCAAGGCAGAATCTAACTAGATAGGTACTATGGCTTCACGCCGTGACAAAAAGTCTATAAAAGATACTATACTTTTATATATTAATTCTACTAATACTATTATTTTAGTAAAAAAGCTAAATTATATATTTATATTCTACTAGATAGATATTTACTACTTTTTTATTAAAGAAGTAATTAAAAATAATAGAATTTAATTATAAATAGTTAGTAGAAAGGATAATATTACTAATAGACTAATTAAGGTACTATTAATTATAAAATTTAAAGAATTTATTAAGAGATTAGATTTTAATAGGTTAGAAATAGACTCTAAATAGTTTTATATAATAGATATGTTACTAAGGGGGGTATGTTAAAGTACTATACTTAATAAATATAACTAGTACTACTATAAAGTAGTATTACTATAAAAAAGAAGATAGTAACATATAACTACTCTATATATTTAGGCTACTATTTCTTTCTAAATCTCCATACTTCTTCTAAGCATCTCTCCTTCTCTATTTTCCTAGTTAGACCTAATTAAATTCATTTTGGTCAACTTTCTACTGTCATAGTTTGACGACCTTCATCATAATATGCATCTAATTCTTTAATAGCTTCTTTCCATGTGATAATTTCTATATCTAGACTGCTTTTAGTTGTACAGTATGTATTTTGTCCTTGTAGTGATCCACCTATGATTTTTCAAATGGGATTAGCCAATTTGAAAGATTGGGACTTCTGAATAGTGTTAGTATAATAATGGTAGTTTAAGGAGCTCGGAAATTCTCCTTTAGCCTGGGATTGATAATGTTGGAAACTTCCGAACTAACATACATACTTTAGGGATAGTATCAATAAACATCATATATCTCCCTGTAGTCCCTAAATCTTCAAATTTTCATCAATGCTCTATTTACAATGAGTTATCGGAATTCTACTTGGTTTGTAAAGGACCTTTTCCTTCACCGAAATGAGAAGTCAGTCCAAATTACTGTAGTATGCAAAGCCAAATACTTTAGCATAGCCAGCCCAATATTTTTTACTGCAGTATAGATTTCTGCCCACGATCATCAATAGCTGAACTGAGTTCAAGGACCGCATATCACCCGGAGTCGCATAACCGCATCCGAAAAGTGTCTTCTCATGTTGGTCTCGGGGTATAATTGCTTCAGTGCAGCCTCTTTCGCTCTGCTGCCAAGGAACACACATAGTGCTGGATATTACTCTTTGGGGGCCACTAATCCGGTCAAGACACTCTTCAATCGGCCATGCTCCACGATAGTCAACCCTTGGTCTTGCCGTACTCTGGCATCAAGCCATCCGATGTTTCCCATGCGGCTCATTGGCTTGCCGTAGTCGGGTGGAATCAACGGCATACTCTTTGATACTAGGTACAGTAATATTAATATTGACTACAGAAGATGGCAGACAAAATAGGGTGGCACATAATCTCATAACAGAATATAAAAAATTCATCACCCTATTATAAGTTTAGTATTTCATGCATATCAGGTAAATCACCCCCAACCGCTAAGCAACAGTAACAAATATATGCCTTCAGTACAGACCCTTTCTCACCATTTAAGTATGGCCTGATCCTCCACCTTAGGCTCTCTCTGTAAGAGCATGCGATTCGGGCAACATGTCTATACCATTGGACCAAAAGGTCACTATGATCAGACCTGATGGTCTGATCTGCCCGAATCCCACCTTATATACCTAGTTATCAATTACCTTGGCACCAGTGCACCTAGTACATGCCGTGACACTCTCTTCTATGATTTTAATCTTCAGACTACTTAATATAACCCCTTGCCTTACTTTCTCGAAAAAAACACCATGCTAACCACTGTCTTGCTGGCTTTCATCAATTATAGCCTAAAAAGTGACATATTACCTGCTTAGCTTTGTTGGAGACATACTAGGGAAAGGGGAGATGCTAGGATGTTAGTTAAGTCAGAGTTACCTTACACTTAGCACCTCACTTACTCTACCATCTAGATTCGCATTCCAATCATCCCCTAGGATGATCTAGGGATCAGGAATTCCTATTCGGGCCCTAGACAAACCCCCTAGATTGCTATAAACCCTAATATAGACTGCACTTAGGAGATCAAGCCTTCAATGCAATTCAATTTACAACCTAGTCCTCGAACTGAACAACCAGGCACTAGTAGACAGTCGGCCCAAGTTAAGGGGTAAGTTCATCTACAGGGGCCATTAATGGAGAGTTTAACCATGATTTCATCGATATTGACACGCTATTACCGGTTGCTCAAAACCATCATGTTGTAATTGCTCTCAATAGTTGCTGGATGTACTGGCTTTCAGTGTATTCCATCACTCGCCGTAGTCGTTTAGCCAACATGGCTGTTGCCTTGCAGGTTCCTGTACGACCATCCAGGTCAGATAACGGGCCCCAAACACGTACCTCTGGTCGAGCAGATTCATCTACTTCCACGCTATAAATAATGTAGAAATCCCAGCGCTCGCCAATGCTAATGCACCCTACCACGGGGGGAGGGAGAGAATCCCCCCATCGATGATCCCACGCCCAGGTCATCAACCCTGCCATCCAAACACCAAGTTGTACCTGCGCTTCAACCAAGTTTCCGTCAGAAGCCTTGACTTCGAAGCCAGGTCCAAGAAATCGTGCTCCAGTATGTGGATGAGCGATGTGGCTGAAACACTGATCTGGATACCGTGAAGCCATGCCTTCGTACTCCGTTGACCATTCGTCAACCGGGAAACCGACCACAAGATCGATTTTACGGTTATAAGTGCCGCGTGCAGCATAACGAGGTTGGTACTTAGGATCGACAGTCTCGGTTTGACTACAAGGTCATCTCAGGTTAATGTGAGAAGAACAACGTAGAAGGCGATTTCTTACACGCTCCAACACTCTAGAGGTAGTTTCCCTATAGCACATTGTAGTAGCGGACGAACGACTTCAATAACCCACGAGCCCTCGCTTCGTAATTGGGCATCGCATTTACACGACGCAGCAGAGATCTTGTCAATTTCGTGTGCTTCCGGTTCCCATTTCTCGTTGTCCGCCGTTAACAGCACTAGTAATTGTCTTGCTAAATCGCTGCCTGGGTCAGCCGACTCGTGTAGGAATTTGATTTTTGGTGTGCCTAATGTCAGATTAGATTTCGTACGGTTCGGACTAGATGACCGTTGTCGGGGCCGATCGCTGGCTGTGATATCTGACCGTGTGGTAACCGAAGGAGAGAGCGTGATGCTATCAGGAAGCGAAACTGGTAGGGAAGCGGTATCAGTAGTCAGCGTCCGACGAAGTCGCTTTTGTGGTTCAGAACAAGACATATTCGACTCCGCGTCCAATTCTGTGAGTCTTCGTTTGGTCCTATTGTGAAGAGCAGAAGTTCCTGGCGGGGTCAGGAGCGACTCCTGCAGCTTGTGAGAACAGCAAGCATGGCTGGCGCTAGCTGGTTGTGATGCTAGATTATTGGTGGGTATATTGTCAATCCAGTTTTCAATCGCTTTCCTCTGGGTGGAATTCATCTTGAGTGATGCCGGGGGACATATTCCTATTCTTGATGGTCAGCCCATAGGGACTAACAAAACATCTGGAGAGTAGGAGAGTATCTCTGTTGCTTGGGTGATACAGCTAATATTTCCAACATGAAGATCCAAGGAACCTTATCAGGGCGGATTAACTATAATCCAGGGGCATGTTGCTGACGTGAAGTGTCGAAATATAGGCTATCCCTGATGTGGGAGATAGCAGAATTTATATTGTAAAGCGAGGACCTGTGAATTCCCTCTTCGGGTTAGCTTTGCCTATTTCGGGATAGCGGCTCGATATGCCGTATTGTCATCGCCGCCTGCCAGCTCCTCTTAGTATATAAGAACCGTCCTTGCTGTTCTGACCCTCTTCTCTCCTAATTTCTTCTTTTCCCTCAACACCCCCTCCTATATTCTGCACTCACTCGATCGCGCCCTGTTGTCTCATCTACTCCGAAAATGGCCGCCCCTCGCCCCCTTTTTCTTGTTGGAAATTGCGGCTGCACCCTTTTTTTGTCGCCTCCACGTCTAGATTCCTTCCCCGTCAGCTTTGACCGGCTATTGAGCTGATTTATTTTCTCTCCCTTTGTTTTTCACTCTTATCTAGTCAATCCATTCATATCTTCCGTCCTCTAGCCTCTACTGCTAGAGAATGCGTTTATTTGGGACCTTGCTTTGCCTACCAGTCTTCGAAGGTATCTACACTTTGGACCTCCTTATCCAAGGAAGAAAGAGACTGACGCTCCAAGCTCCCAACAGGCTCCAAGGTTAATTACGCGTTACAGCTTATGCTTACCCCCACCTCTTTACCCTTTTCCGGCGGTCGCCTGTTCTGCGTCTTTGTTTTCGCCCCAGCCATGTTGATCTCGCGTGTTGTGAAATATGATTGGATTGTATGGATCGCGACGAGATTGCGCCTCAGAGGAGCATGTCCAATAGCACAAATACCTCATCCTTGACTCCGCTGGCTATCTTCGCCGCTGTCATTGTCACTGTTATTGATCACATTCTCGCGGAATCTTGCTTGCCGAATAGTAGCCGATTGGTGCTCTATCCTCGATCTTCCGGTCTGCTGCGCCCTGTGATACACAGTTGTGGAAAGAATTAGGTTACAAGCACGGCCATTTGCTCATGCAGTGTTTCTTGTGGAATATTGTCGAGCTCCCATGCTGACCTGATACTTCGCCGAGTTCGCGCCTTACATCCCGCATTTACTCTTACGGGCAATGCTCGATTACTCCCTTGGGTTGGCCCCGATAAGTTGTTTGGAATGGTCGATTTCATTGGCTGGGTTTAAAGTGAGAAGGATACAACATTCAATTTCAAGACTCCCAGGCGCGTGGGCAGGAGTGCAGGATCGGGCTACTCACCGGTAATTTGGCTTTGGGGGTGTAGTTCTTCGTTGAAGCCCCAACAATGGGTCTTGGGACTTCAGTTGTTGCCTGATCTGCGTCTTATAAATACTCCGGTCTGTCTCGAGTTAAACAGCTACGCAGACAGCATAACTGATTTCCTCAACATCACACTTTGTTTCCCACCTTGCTCATATTTCAGGATGGATCGCCAGGTCTCTTACAACGGCCCTTTGCTTTGCTCTCCTTTGCCCTGTAATCTCCCTGCTTCACGTCCCTCAAGCCTCATGAACCATCCACTACCCCTAAAACCTCCTACTTCCAAGTACTTTTCCCATCCATATACTACTTCCCGCAATCCTGCAACCCCAGTCTGCACTACGGCAACACAGCACGTTGTCTATGGCAAATATCTTCCTGTGAATAACGAGCCCAAAATCTCTTCGGTCCATCACGCAACCGCACCATCACTTGAGGCGCTTAGCAGTCCCAAGACAGAGAACGTCATCCTACTGTCCAGTGAAGGTTCGTACAGATTTACCGCGTCTTGCTGCCCGAGGTTCTTGCTTATCAGTGATCTCTTTCCCTTTCAGATACGTTCCCAGCACTCGAAAGCGACTGTGACGAGACAGGCAGCATCAACACTGACGAGTTGCCCCATCCGGATACATTATTCTCTTGGGTGTGGAACAACCACGGTGCTGGGATTCGTGAGGCTTCGGTGGCCACTCGAAGTGTGGATGACAGGTCGTGTCATGACGAAACAAGTTCATCCACTTCCGAAGTTTGTGAGATAAGCCTGTCCTGCGAAAGTCGCCCTAGTGATGCTGATGATAGCGGCAATGATGATAACGGTCCTACGAAGCTTATCTCTAATGAAAGACAGGGTGGCTTGACAGATACTCTAGGACCAAAGATCCTTTTCGCTTCCTTGGTTAAAGGATCACGACCTACTCTCCTTGAATGCAGAGGCCTCAAGCATGTAACTGAGACTACCATGGGTATTATGTCTAAAATCTCCCGATAAAAGTGTCACAATCGAAAGAAGCCTGCGTGCACCATGTTGGGGTACACTGAAGGTACTGCAGCCAGCGGCCCTCGAACAAGGGCAGGGGCTAGAGCAAAAGCATCCCGTTCATTCTCTAGTTGCCGTCGGGTCCGGCCTTATTCAGATGTCGAAGACGACCTTCTATAGAAATTAGTGCACAGAAACCTTCCCTGGGAACAGATTGAGGAGGAATTCGGTCGGAGTTTTGCTGGAAGGGATTGGAAATCACTTCAAGGGCGTTGGTCGAGAAATCTGAAGTTTGTAACCCGATCAGCGAAGTGCTTGACAAAACTCAGAGGGGCGAGGGATGGAGCGCGCCGACGGATGTGTCGAACTCCTAGCCAGTGACGACCTACTCAGCCACCAAAACCAACACACTCGAACCCAACCAGCCACAAACCAATCAAGGGACGTAGATACACCAGGCTGAATGGAGGACTTGAGAAGAATGATCTTGTATCTACCCTAGTGGATTCAGATGTGTCAATAATATAATGGTCAAATTCAGACAACCAACTTTGTTTGGTCTCGTATCCTATGGGAATGTGGTCAAGTACCACATTGCGAGGTACCATGCTTTCAATTTATGCCAGCTTATCTTGGGATTGTGACGATTTGATATCACTGTTGGAAGGCGAGTGCCTCCACTGAAAAGGGTAGCCTATTGGCTATTTTTAAAGTCTCCCTTTCAACCCACTGCGTTTGCCTCTGGAGAAGTACGGAGAAGATTGTAAAGACGATTGAAACCCCTGGGAAGTGAATCAAACAATTGGTGAAGTTGCCCATATCTTGCATCCTTCCCTAAATACAGTTACTGCTGGTGATGCGGATCTGGTAGGTAGAATGTAGAGTTTATTGCCTTGACCTTCTCACATTGATTGGCTTCCAATTTAGTTTAAGAGCACACAGCTCAGCGGCGCGGAAGAGAATTTGTTGTCCTCCGTAACAAATCGATAGCTGTCAAAACGGCCATCCTTGGTCAACGACGATTACGCCAATCAAAGTTGGTTTGTAGTCAATCATCAGCTAGAGTAAACTATATAAGACCTGTCCCCTCATTCTCTCTTATTATCTTCCAACTTCTTTTTTCCTTCCTTCCCACCTTCTCCTCCCATATTGTGCACTCATCAGTCGCACCATCTTCAATCTCCCAAGCTTCATCCACCCCCACCCCTTTCGCTCCTCCCTTTTCTTTTGATACTACCCCCATTTTCTCTTTGGAAATCTCGGTTGCTCCCTGTTCTCATTCCTCCACTTTTCGTTTATCTTCCCCCGAGTCCGTCTCGCCCGGTTTTTATCGTCGAGTAAGTGATTCACAATCTTTTTGACCGATAAAATATATCCTATCTTCTGTAAGGTCAACCTTAACCCAAAACCTTACAGGAAATGAAACTCCCACCCCGACGTCCCAGCATTCATTTTCGAACTTAGGCTATTAGACGACTCGATGGATCGCCTTATTATTCCATCGATCTTACTGCCAGATTATACCTGGCCACGGCGGATGCAGTCCGCAATTCAGCAGACCACCCCTCGAGTACCAGTTGGGCCCGGCAGATGCACCAGAATACTCTGGGGCATCATTCACAAGCTCCTTTATTACTTCTCTCAATGGTACTGCTCTTGGTTCGGTCTTCTATTCGATGCAAATATTATTCAATTACCATTTGGCCTTGTTATGAAATGGACAGACCGGACGAGCGTCGAGGAGGTGGTCTCAATGCAAATGGCAAGATCTGCGGGAATGCCTGTACCCAAAGTTATCAGCTGTGGTGAACACCTAGATGCGCCTTTCAACCGAAGATTTTCTATCTTGATGACAAGGCTACCTGGTGTACCTCTTGAGAACTCGAACGATATACTACAGACTAATGCCAAGGAGCCTTGGCTGGAAGAGTTGAAATTTTGTATCACCTCTATGCGATCGTGGCATTCTCCAGGGTCAGAGACGATTTGCTCTCCCATTGGAACCCCCTTACGGAGTTCACGAGTTCCTGGGCACATCATGGGTCCTTTTTCCAGCCTAGAAGCTTTTTACGACTATCTTTTTGCTCCGGCTTCAGCCCATGCATTCAAATCTGACACCGATTACCAAAAGACTCTGTCACGCGCAAAAAGGTTACAGAGTCATCAGCATAGAATTGTATTCACTCATGGGGATTTCAAAGCGCACAACATTCTTGTCGATGATGATGGACATTTATCTGGGTTTCTCGACTGGGAATCCGCAGGCTGGTATCCCGAATACTGGGAGTTTACTACGGCTATGCGCTTTGGGAAAGATAGCTGGTGGTTCCAAGTTGCCTCTTGGATGGGTGGAAGACAATATTCGGATGAGTTGGACTCCGATGTGGCTCTAAATCTATTAACCGTCGACTCTTATATAGCCCTTTAGTGACTGAGGCTTATTAAATTAGCATGGCAATGTTAGGGCTAATAAACATACACGCATTGGCTTAATGGATTCGGATAACAATCACGAGTTACAAACATGAGAGCAGCAAAAAAAAAAAAAAAAAGGTATACGCAGCTCTGCTCAACTACGTGTGTTCTCTCTCTAATTTGCTTTCAAAGACACAGGGCTGATCTTACTACAGGTCGTGGCTGGGTGTTGTTTGCTGCCCCTTGACTGTATTGGTTTCCGAAAGTCATACATTCCTGCTGCAAGCCATCAATATTGCTGCAGCGTACTATCCCTTGTCGAATCAACTCTCGCAAGATGACCATGAGCCATACTCGGCAGGTTATACCGGGAATTGAATTGACGTCTCCATCACGGGATCTCATAATCTGGTCGAGAAGACCATGCTTTACATGTGGGACGTTTGTGATCTCGATAAGGACGCACAGGAAATTCGACTTGAAAGCGCCTCCGGTTGGGCCATGGTCCGGGATCCATCCTCCGCCCAGGTTTCTCATGTGATATTTCGACCCTCCCTGGGCGCTAGTGTGGAAGTAATATCCCCAGTGAAAGTCATTTGGCTGAGGAGGGTCGGATCGTATATGAAGAACAATGAAGAGCGTGTTTAGAGGCAATCGAGCGAGCGCGTCTTCCTGAGCCTTTTTGATGATCAAGGCCCGCTCTCTAGGAGTCACTGGTTTTTGAGTGGCCTGCATATGGAAAAATCGGGGAAGGAATTTGGGCGGATCGAAGAGGACTTGGAAGAAGAAAGTGATGATGGCTGCTATGATTGTATTCGGGATGGGAAGATTGAAGACCAGACCCACGGCTAACGGGCTCACTTAAGTAGCATAGACGCTGACTCCGTTGCCTAATGAGCACCAGAGTTGAATACTACTACTATTCTGTCATGATACTGGGGGGGGTACTCTGCAAAAATTTAGGGTTTCTAGGGGGGGGGTATTGGGTTTGATACGATACCCCCCCCTAAAATCATGAATTCTAGGTCTTTTTTAATAAAAATTAGATATCTAGATAGCTAATGAAGTAGAATTTTATAATATTTAAAAAAAAATCGAAAATTCCCTAATTAGGAAGGTAGAAAGTCAAAAGAAAAAAACAGGTTTTTTTTGATGGGGTATGCCAAGCTGCGGGTAGTCTAGACCTATTTAGGTAGCCCTAATACCCTAGGGTTAACTAGATGGGTCAGGCAACCATATAGGTGCCTTATTTACTAGGCAGCAACTATTAATGCCTTATTTTTCAGGCCATATTTTTTAAAATTAAAATATTAATAGTAGCTACTACTATTCTGTCACGATACCGGGGGGGGTACTCTGCAAAAATTTAGGGTTTCTAGGGGGGGGGTATTGGGTTTGATACGATACCCCCCCCTAAAATCATGAATTCTAGGTCTTTTTTAATAAAAATTAGATATCTAGATAGCTAATGAAGTAGAATTTTATAATATTTAAAAAAAAATCGAAAATTCCCTAATTAGGAAGGTAGAAAGTCAAAAGAAAAAAACAGGTTTTTTTTGATGGGGTATGCCAAGCTGCGGGTAGTCTAGACCTATTTAGGTAGCCCTAATACCCTAGGGTTAACTAGATGGGTCAGGCAACCATATAGGTGCCTTATTTACTAGGCAGCAACTATTAATGCCTTATTTTTCAGGCCATATTTTTTAAAATTAAAATATTAATAGTAGCTAGTATAGAAATATAAAATAAAATAAATAAAATAAATAAAATAAATAAAATAAATAAAATAAATAAAATAAATAAAATAAATAAAATAAATAAAATAAATAAAATAAATAAAATAAATAAAATAAATAAAATAAATAAAATAAATAAAATAAATAAAATAAATAAAATAAATAAAATAAATAAAATAAATAAAATAAATAAAATAAATAAAATAAATAAAATAAATAAAATAAATAAAATAAATAAAATAAATAAAATAAATAAAATAAATAAAATAAATCTAAACTATATTAGGGCCCTGTATAATTTTAGGCTATAATTTAGATATATTTAGAAAAAAGTAATAGAAATAAAGGGCTCCTTCAGTAATTTCAGTATCTAGATCCCATTTCCATTTTAGGAAGGTCTGGTTACCTAGATTTTCAGGCAGAATTTCAACCCTCTAATATTTAGTAGGGTTTGCATGAATTTGATCCAAATTCTGCTTTATCAGGATCTATAATAATGCAACTAGGTCAGGTGCTAGGCATGTGAGACCTTTATTACTTTTATTAGGACCCTTACAAACCTTAGTAGGTAGAAAACACCTAAAACAGCATGTATCTGGAATAGGGTTACCCAAAGAAGCCCTAAATTGCTCAAGTTAAACTACCTAAGTAGTATTTTCAGGGCAATTTTCAAATAAATGGGCAAAAATTCTAGTAGATATAGAAGGATCTAGTAATTTAGATCCTAAAGTTTAAATTAATAAATAAACTTCCTAATTAGGAAAGAAATAAATAAAGAAATAAAAACTTACTATCCTATTTAAAAAAGTAAACTAGACAGTAACTTTCCTGCCATAATTTAACCACCCTTTCTAGGAATTTAATTTACTGGGCAGCTATTTAATAGTATTGCTTAACCGCCTAATATTATTCTGTCACAGACCCTCCCCAGGGTCTGCGCAAAATTTTAGGGTCTCCAGGGGGGAGGGTCTGGGTCTAACACAGACCCTGGGTCTAAAATTACCAATATTAGGTCTTTTTAAATAAAAATTAGATATTTAGAAAGCTAACTAATTAAATTTTAATAATATAAAAAAAAAATTCGAAATTTCCTCTTTAGGAAGGTAGAAAGTTAAAATAAAAAAAGTAGGTTTTTTTTATTGGGGTATGCCAAGCTACAGGTAGTCTAGACCTATTTAGGTAACCCTATCCCACAAGGGTTGAGGAAGGCTACTAGGGTGGCTCTAGGGTTTTGTGGAGGACCAGCACTGATTGGTTGGCTTATTATAGGGTGGCTCAATTTTCAGGAGTAGGGTACTTGTAGAACCTATTGCATGTTATAGCTCAAATTTTTACTAGATATAGATTAGTTACTTAAATTATAGATTTCTAAGTTTTAGAGCCTATAGATATCAGGTAAATATATAGTAATATATTAAAGTTGGTTGGGGTTCTATTAAAGATTTAGTAGGGGATAGACTTAGATAGCTATATATAATAGTAATAGATTAATTATACTAGTAAATTAAATAATCAAGGGCTTATTTAATTAAAAAGTCTAGTTAAACTTTAATTCCTCTAAGTATTTCTATTAGTTTTCCTATCTAATATTATATTTTTATCTATATCTAGCTACTACCTATCTATATTCTATTATAGAATACTAGCTATTTAAGAAGATCTCTATACTATAAATTATTATATATTACTAGTACTAGCATAGTATTTATCCCAAGGAGGTTATAATATACCTATAGAAGAAATATTTTTTTAAGCTATAGAATAATTAACTTATTACTTAAGTAGTAGCTAGCTAGGTAAAGATTATCTAGTAGCTAGATAATTTATATATTCCCTATATACTAGATATACTAGTTTCTATTATCCCTATTTATACTAACAGGCTATTATACTAGTATAGCTATAGTAAGGAATTAGAGTAATATATATATATTATTACTAGTATTAAATTTATACAAAATTACTAGAAAGAAGTATATAATTAAATCTAGTACTAGTTTTATAAAGGGATTCCTACCTAGGAATAGGAGAAGTAGTAGATCTAGCTTTAATAATTATTCTATCTAATTACCTAGTAGCAGGTATTCCCTAGCTAGAAAAACTCTTATTTAATATATATCTTATTATATAATCCCTAGCTTAAAGAGTAATTTATCCTAATCACTACTTATAAGTAGCTAGTCACGGAGATTAAGGCACAAGCAGTAGTAGATAAGTAGAAGATAGCTATCCAGATTATCTAGGCTAGAGAGCTCTAGAATACTAATTCATAACTATATATAACCTGCTAGGCCTGGTATTTAGCTAATATATATATTCTAGACCTGCTTGTAGTAGTAGCTACTCCTAATCCTAAGCTAGAGGACCCTATAAGCAGTACTATATACATAATATGGGATACTATAAAGTTACTGGCCTAATATAGCTAGTACATGATAAAGTAGTGCAAGAATAAGATCTAAATAGCTACTATACATACCATACTATACTAGACCCTATACTAGCTATTATAGGTATATATAAATAAGAAGAGTATCTAAAACTATATCTAGTTATAATAATAAATTTTACTATTTATTATCTATATATAGATAAACTAGCTATAGAAGTAGTAGCTATAATATATTATAACTACCTAGTAGTAGAAAATATAGCAGTAATTATAGTAAATAACCATGTAGGAATCCCAGCACAGTCCTAACCTTATAGAGATTAAGAATTAGCCTCCTATAGTCTAGCTATTTATTATAATTATAATTAAAACTATATACTTAGAATTTTATATTAAGTTATTAAACTAGAAAATTAAGATCTATAAGTATAAAAGCCTATTAATTTATACTATAGCTATATTAGATTAGGGAGAGATAACCTAGTAGGGCCCTAAAAGTTACCTACCTATTATTTCCTAGGTATTAAAAGTAGCGCGCTTTATACTTATATAAAAAGTATTATAGCTAGATCTATAGTATATAAAGATTATTTATATATAGGCTATAGCTATAGAGTAAGAGTTATAGATAGGGGATACTATAAATAAAGAGTTAGGGTTTATTATTAATAAAGAGTATATAAAGGGACTTAATACCTCTATTATATCCCCCTTATCTAGCCTACTATCTAGCCTACTTAGCCTGCCTATAGCCCTTATCTACTAGATTCCCTAAACCCAGGGAATGCTATTTTAAGCTAAAGTAGACTAGATAGTCTAGTAATTTATAGTCTATAGCTAGTACAGGCCTGTAGAGATATTACTAGATTAGTAGACCTTTAGGCTAAAGATTTATTATAATACTACTACCCCTAGGCATGTAACCTAGATAGGATAGGAGTAGTTATTATATAAAGAAATAAATTTTACTATAGGTAAGTTTTAAAGATTTATATATAGCTTAGTTAGGGCTGCACAGGAGTTTATAATAGGATTATTATATTAATTTAATCTAGATTAATAGCCTGCTATTTTATAAAATTAGTTATTTAATAACCCTACTAAAGCCACCCCTAGCTGGAGTTTTTTACAGGATGCGTGAACCTGGTGGCCTGTGGCTAGATATAGCTAGCTACTAGACTAGATTATGTAGGAACCTGCTATAGCCTATATCTTTACTACCTAGGGGGAGGTCAGCAGCCCTAAGATCTAGAAGTATTTCTAGCAGGTAGCCTAGTTTAAGGAGAAGCTAGTAGTAGCCATATATTTAACTAGTAGGGCACCTATATAAGCCCTAGAATTATTAAGTATCTAGCATGTAAATACTAAGACTAACTAATATTAAAATATATATATTAAGGATAGTATAGTAGTATTTATTATTATATATTATAAAGAATTCTATACTAGTAATAATATAAAGATTATTTACTAGTATTTATTTTAAGTAATTAATAAGTTAATTATATAATATTTATAATTAGTATTATTATTTATATAATAATTAGTAGTATTCTATACTAACTAATACCTATACTACTATCCTAATTACTACTATAACTTAAGATTATAGGGACCTAATATTAGTAGTAGCTAGGACTAGACTAGTAAGTAGTTCTACAAGGTATTAAAGTAGGAGAGCTAGACTAGTATAGGATTATTATATCTACTTAATATTACCTATTATTAGAATATTATAGTAGGCATTAGCTATTATTTTTTATATCTATTTAGTATATTCCTAAATAATATATAAGT